TATATATGATATCTAATTATAATTATGTAATATTTACGATGATACGAAGTTCATAATGAACTTATAATGATTGGTATAATATATTTCGTTGTGTCATAAAGAACAAACAATTTCTAGATGTTGTCGCATGTCTCCGCCGCGGACCCAACGAAACAACGTTTCCGAAAACTGCACAACGACGCGACAGGTTTCCCATAAACTGTTTAATAGGCGCAGGACGCGAGGCAGGGTCAACTCCGTTGCATATGAAAAACCGCTTGTAAAGAAGCGCCAGCTGCAAAAACTGTTGTCAGAATTGTTGCGTCTGTGAAATTACAACATGAAGCTAATAATGCGGGGGAATAACGATGAAACCCATAGCCAATGCCGCAATCACGCACTTATTAAACGACAAGATGATCCAGTAACGATTGAATATCAAATAAAATAAGATGACAGATAATAGCCGGTACAATGATGAAAATACTACATACGCAGCCACTATATCCGACGTAGGATAGGGACGGCGGTGACCGTAATGATAATGAGATTAAGATACTGCAATCAACTGAGTAGAGAACACAGCGCAGCGCTTAAGTGCTTATAATATTATTAATAGTAGTAGGTTATCCATTGGTTCGTTGACGATGACACTTGAGCCTGCTGTGCAATGTCCTTTGTCCTATTGCACTTATACGCGAGGACGTTTTGCTATAAATAATCTATTATAACATCACCTTCATAATGACGCACTACCACATCGTGTTTTATTATATCGTAGAATACCCTTATATTCCCCCCTATTTATACTTCTTCACGATTGATTGAATGAGTCCAACCTTCCATGAGACCAATCGCTCTACTGCTTCGCGCATTACTGCTTAGGGCCAGACTGATTTGTCTGCCACACAGAAGGCTTAGCAGTTGTTGCAAAAGTCACCAGCCGAATCGCAGCAGCTTCCTTTTTCGGCCAGTGTTATACCTACCCTGCAAAAGGAAAGCGAAGACGGTGAGTGGCGATGATGAGATACCCATTACGATACGAGTCATCTACACTTTTTGCTACATGTTTTGCTTGATTGGAATTACCTTCTACTGCTAACATTAGATCGTGATCTCTTCCATAATACGCTACGTTCACCGTGGGGGGGTGTTTAAAAGCGTCCGGGGCAAGGTCGTGTTATGTATAGTAGAAAGATTTTCGCGTAGCTTATGCTGTCAATCGATCCCTTGTATCACTCATTAGCTGTATGCATTTGATTATGCATTCTGTTTCACATAGCGATCGTATTTAGTCTTATGATGAGTTTTGTTGCCGAGCGAATGCTTTCTCATTAGAGAGAAAAACCTCATGAACAGTGATAGGAAAGTTTCAATCAAACAGTAGAAATTCAATTACTTAATAGAATCCAGATTCGTTTTGTGGACCATTAGATGATACACTTCGTATTGTTGGTTGCTACGTCCAGGGGCTAATCTTTGAGTGGTTATTCCGCAGATTGTGCTTCACAGTAGAACAAGTTTATGGAGCTCGAGCTATTCGACAGAGCAACTAGCTGCAAACTAAAGTGAAATTAGTACGGGTAATGCTTACGGCTTGTGTGACTCAGCATTTGCTCAAATCATTAACTTTGCCGCTCGGACTATCGTCGTGGCACTGCGCCTAACCTGCGTTTTCTTTTCCCCGATATGTGTGCGCGTATGGGCGCGAATACATTTTCTCTTATCCCCTTTCTCTGCCTCCCAATGTATATATATATATATATATATATACACACTTAGCTTCTCCCTTCTATGGCACGTGTTGCTGAGATGATGATCTTTTTGTGCAGATATATCGCCACTTCAGAACATTCCCGCTTTTTGGCAGCAAAAAGAAACAGGCAAGAGTTTATTGCTCTTTATTGAAGCCATGTTTATATTTCAGCTTTGACCGAACTATCGCCGCCAGAATACTTAAAGCTCTGCTACTGTAGATTACTATAACGCTACACTCCATACTCTCGAATATTTTTTGCTGTATATAAGTCGTAGTGATCATTATAAATAATAGCAGCGGTGTTGGTACACTTCCAACGAATATTAGCACCTGTCGCCTCAAACAGACAATAATTGTTTTTTTCCCAATAAACCATGTAAATATTAAATAAACACTACACTTGCAAATAAACCGATGCTAAAAATACACTAAAAGAACGAAGATTTAATACACAGACTGGGCAACTTACGTAGAAAGTAAAAAGGTCGTCATAATAAAACTGCGATACGCGGTTAAAAACAGTTACGTTAAAAACGCGACAGTAACTTATCTGAATTTTCTTGAGTTTCTTTTACTTTGATCCTAATTTCTAAGAGAATAAAATTTCCTAAGAGAATAAATTTTCTCTACGCGACGTTAATAATACTATAAACTATTGGAAAAACAAGTGAAGGGTCATACCAGATATTACCAAATTCAGCCAAAACTCTATTTCCTAGGTTATTGAAAGATAATATAACCTTTTCGAATTTATTGACCAATTGGCCGTTTTATTTCTGCATACTTCGATAGAAGGGAAGCACACATACACATATTCACATACACCTACGAGGTTAACATACACAAACAAAATTATTGCTCCAATTGAATTTTTTTGAAGTGCTGCTACAGCCGGCGATAAACAGTAACCACAACAATAACAATATTAATAACGAAAAATACGATAAATGTTTGACATTTCAGTAGCATACTGAGCGGTGTAATTTCAATAGCAGTAATAAATAGTGATAATTCTGCTGGTAATAAAAACAGCAAAAATATGAATAACAAATATAAATTAATCGCAGTGAGGCGTGATCATGGAAAATGAAGAATCATAATGATAACATGAACATGTAAATTTCAAATAACATCGAGAGGGAGCAGTAAAATTGTGGTCAGTATAGTGAAGATAACTATGCATCACTAAACACAATAATAGTATGAAGTGATGATAAGAGCGGAAAGGAATTTGGTTGATATAAATGCATTATATATCAATAGACCTGTAAGGGAAGGCAAACGTAAACAATAAGCCCATGGCAATCCTGAAATGAGCCTGACTGGCGAACTCAATATGATATGACAAAATATATTAACGGGATGCAGAACAAAAAGGCGTTGAGATGGAATTACGAGTCAATAAGTGAGCAGGTATTGGTGATGGGATTAACTCGATAGATGCGTATATAGGTAACTGTTAATAATGGGATACAAGATTCTGAAAAAGAACTAAAGGAGATATATATATATATATATATATATATATATATATATATATATATAATGGTGGAGTGGGGAAGGTGTTTTCGTCGATAAAATAAATTAGAAAAAAATATTTAACTCAATTGTTCAAGTGAGGTTAACTTAAAACAACTGATGTATTCGCAACTAGTCAAGCCTATTATTACGCGTTCGATTGTGCCCATGCTATTTAAACGAAAAATCAACATGTAGTTATTTTTTATAAAAAAAAAAATAAATTTTCCGCGAGCACTCTGCGCATGAGTACTGTTTCGACTCCGTACAGCGAACCCTATGATGTTTTATATAAAGATGAACCCATTATACAGACATTCTTCCCTACAATCGCCATATATCTTAATAGTGCTACTCTAACGTTGCTTGATACCAGTGAATAATAAGACAGCATTCTAGGCCCCTCCTAGAGGAACCATTGTACACTTACCGACGACCTGTATATATCATGGAACAGTCATCATGCTAACAAGATTATAATAGAACAATGCGGAACGTCTATGTGATAGATTCAAGCAAGCGATCTTTGAAGCGATAGAGTGATTATGAAGAAAAACGATAATAGGTATACACAAAACAACAAGACAATAAATAAGTGAAGAGAACGATTTCTCTCTTATGATACTGGTGAAGAAGATATCGAAAAAAAGTAAATAAGCAAAAGTATAACCGGAACCTAACCCGAACCAGGAAGATTGGCAGGAAGGCAGGCTGGAGATTCTATGGGAATGGATTGATTTTTAGCCTTTGAAGGAAAAACAAAACCATGAAGCTTTCTATGTTGACCTGCAGACAATACGAGGGCTTTTGTTCAGAAAATAAAGGCATAATAGCGAGGATTCTAAGACAAACGATCATATATTATTGGTTGAACCTCTTACAGCTCCCAGGTACACTCTCAGAGGTGTGCGCGTTACGCTTACGCCTCCAGATAATACCGAAACAGTTCGCCGTCGTAATTTTTTCTAATGGAGCGAGAATAATTAGTTTTACTAGGAGCAATGTTTATGTGAATATCAAATAAGATAACCTTTGAATAGAGGTCAAGGCCATAGAGGGAATCAACATAACGAAATATAATGATAGAGAAACTATGTTATAAAAGGAGAATCGTATGAAAAGACAGACCTTGAGAAAGCGAACAGCCGATGACCCCTTTATGATCCAGAAATACGTTGAAAGTGATGATAAACTCAAAGATCGAAATGAATTGCGAGCGAAATTGCTACGTTGTCGACAGGGAACTTTAGCTGGGTGACAGGCAAAAGTAAGGGAATCACCGATGGACGAATATAGGACGGGCATTACCGTTGATTAATTAAATAATAAAATGTACTGTCTGTTTCGAACAGTCGAATGGGAAGTTTTGTCGGAGCTCCTACAACTCTAACTATAAACTAGTAGACATTCAACTCTAAAGGGTCCCAGAAAATACAGCAACGATGATATTCCTGATGATAAAGCAAGAGGGTAACTTTGTCGATAACATGCGATATGACGCTACTGGTGATAACAATAACCGCAGTAATAACGAAAACAACAATAATGATGATAATAAAAAAATGATAAATGGCGTTTAAATGTGTTCACATCCTAATGAATCGATTGTTTTTTTACTATATTTTATCTAATATGTAGGTACCTGTGTGTGGCACAGGATCATGAGATTATATTTTACTTGGCAAATATATTCGTAAGATTTTCGGCCCCTTTTTATCGTCCGCAGTTAATATAGTAGCTCAGATCGTTTGTGCGGACTTCCAGTCCTTAGGCTGGTAAAATGTATCTTACATATATACAATTATATAAGATATTGGCGCTGAACTATATTCAGTATAGTCTATATATACAGTTTCTATATACATAGGGTTAGACTCAGTTTACCTATAACTACTGTCAAATAGAAAAAACTTTAGGATTTTATAATATCATGAATGCGTTGGCAAGGCATCGTCGAGTGCGACACTAGCATTCATGCACGCAACGTTTTCCTGCAAACTACCTGATTTGAAATCTCTACCCCATAGTTGATGATAGTGGAAATGCACTATTTATATAGATATTCAAATGTTGTTTTTCGCTCTATCTACGTCCATGAAGAGTGCCTGTTTCTTGTTTGCCTGAAAATGGTAAGAGCAGCTTTCTCATTGAACTTAAACAATGTTATATTTAAGATCTTTTATATTCGATCAATCATCTTATATATATGAGACGATTGAAACTTGCTGCTGAAGCGAATCCTAATCAGCTAAACGTAAATAGAACGTGAAGAGGTATACATCTCGATAGTAATATCCAGCACTCTGAAATAAGACATGCTGAGATAAATCGAAAGGCAGTTCATAAGAGCACAAACAAATAGCGATAATACCTTCTCGTTAGAGGTATTATTATTAGTTTACCTGCTAGGATAATGAGTGTGCACTCAGCTGGTGCACTCACAACTAAACAGGAGAGCGATTAATTTACCATAAACTTAATGGTGGCAGTAACTAATCAGGACATGACCTTTACTTATATTGTTAATTAATTATTTCTTATTGTGAAATGCATGTCCAGCTAATTTGCATCCCTAGGAATAGATATAAATCGAAACTACACTTAACAATAATATTAGTCTGTTACAGGCTATATATTTTTATACTGAATAACTTTTGAAATAGAGTGGAAAGAGTAATAATTGTTTAATATGTGTTTAACGTACCCTTTTTTTATTTACTTTTTATTTACACATTTTGCTCAGCGCTTTGGAAGATTCTGGACAGCCATATACTTATCCACATTCCCATATATGATTCCTTTATCTATGGCTTTTCGAAGTAAATTGATGACGTGATACTAATTGCGTGTCGGTAGACGTTTTTTGGGCATTTCTGGGCCACGTAGTCATGATTTAAGATCAATAATATATGTGGCTTGAAGCCAACATTGAGTATTTTTTTGTTAAATCTGCGAAATAATTGAGACATGGCGATGACATCATCAAATAACTGGACCACGTGCTTCCTATCACCATGTCGACGGTCCATAAGCATCTTAGGTTCCCCAAGAGGGCTGCATTTATCTTTTCATTTTCAGCAAATGTCGCATAGTATCAGATGTCCCTGATGTCCATTACAAGTACTACCTTTACCATAAATCAGAACCTTTTTAAATCAAAACCTGCCTTTAAGTTTTAATTTTCACCAGGGTGACGCTGTTCTCTCGTTCAGTGGCCCCGCGGCTAAAAGTAGAGGCTGTTACATGCCTTATCTGTGGCGACTGTATACTCCATGCGGGTTCTTTGTTCATTAAAGCAGTGATAATTGTACAAAGAATACACTACAGGTGTTTCTAACATTCCTGGATCTAATTCATGCTTATTTTTACTCTGTTCATACATTTTCAATATTCAAATTATAATTCTGTAATATATTACATGTAAAATGCTACTTTTGGCCAAGAGGGTCTTCAAGGAGGGCTTCAAGCTTTAATTTCGTAAAAGCCTTTTCAATAGTGGCAATGCGTTTTTGCACTTCGGGTCCTGATATCGGTTACATTCTTGTTGACCTTCAACGCTCTTCTTTAGGACATACGCACTGCTTACATACTGTACATTTGCGTAAGGTCTCGTTGCCTAATGTCTTCAACAATCTTCAATGAATTTTTGCAGCGCTGCGGCTTTGAATTACAAAAACTTGAGCCCTGAGCATTCGTTTTAGAAGCTAGAAATTTTTTTTCTGAATTAATTTCTCCTAAATTGCGCCCAGTCAGCGTTCGCGTAAAAGTTTCTAGAAGCTCTACCTGCCAAGTTTCGCGCCGAAAATTAGCGGCGCGCAGTTCAAATTTCAAAGTCCACTGGATATATATTCATTTCGCTCGCAGCAACCTAATATATTAATCCGTTTCAAGGTCCGGCTGCCACGACATAATAAAATAAATAGCATAAGGGAAAAAAATGAATGAAGAGCATATTTTGTGTTTTTTTTATTTATTCTTACCTGGCTGGTTTGTTGCTTTATATTGATGGACTGCATTAATGTGTATATATATAGAAATGCGACAAGAACGAGATAGAATATATGTACATATTTGCCCGCTGTCAAGTTTAGTCCCGTGACATTTAATCTCTACAGATATAGAAAAGTAGTAATTTCAGATTATACAGAGTATACAAGTACGAGTGCCTGGTTGTACGAGCAATTGTTCGAATTGCTTGACAGATCAATTCTGTGCTGACTGTTAAATAACACCCAGGTTCGTCAAATACTAAACTTCAGAAGGGTAAGACCTTACCATCCTTAATCTTACAGCAACTTAATCTGAATTGTATCGTTTGTCTTTCTTATGCTTCTTTCCCTTTTTGTGATGCTTTTTTTTCTTTTTTGACTCTTTCTTTATTTTTTTATCCTTTCGGTGTTTTTTGGTTTTTTTTTGTCTTATCTCAGTCGTCCCACTTTCCACCGCTTTCTTAAAGAACTGGTCCCTCGACGACCTCGATCTCTTCATGTCAACAGCTCGCGAACTCGAGGTGGGATCGGCTTTATGGAAATCGCTCGACGTTTCATCGTCGGAGTCTTCCGACGACGTGCTTGACACGTCTACGCACACCCCGCCAGGTTTGTCTGCAGCAAACGGGTTTACCTGTTCATGTTAACGTGTTTTAACACAACAACAAGAAAAAGACATTTTTTAAATAACAAGGATAAAGTACGATGGAAAATTTATTAAAAAATCAGGTTACCATAGGTATCAAGCTAGCAACCTAGAAATATAAAATAAACTAACCAGCGTTAGAGAGACAGGCCACACGACCGATAGCCTGTTTGTCAGACCTTTTGTTGAATGTTTTTAGAGGTTTTACAAGCTGTAATATCTCATCGTGAAATATAATTAAACTTAAAAAATTTTATAGAGTAAAATCGATAACATTAGTTCGAAGGAGAAAGAAATCCGCGTACGGGGACGAAACAAAAGTAGTGGCAAACACCTTTTGTTATCTATTGTGTAAAGGGCCTTTCTTGCAAACTGACCGTTAAGTATATATCATGAAAAAGCAGGGTTGATTATTTCCGCATAATGTCAAAACCTCAGTCGGTCACAAAGAGTCAGAAAATTTGAACTGTCTTCAGATATACTTCGATTCCTACTCTTTCATTTTACTAAGAGAAAATTTATTATGATAAGCTCTTACTAGGTTATCAGACAGACATGCTTCTTACGTTTGAAATCGTCTTCTCATTTGGGTAACACCCGCAAGAAGTAATAAACATTCAAAACTTCTTTTTGAACTTCTTGACTCGCCATTTGCGTATCACTATTTGTAATGTATGTTTCGTGAACTATATCATCCGTTCTGATTGTGCCATCTTCTACTCACTGTTCAGACATTTTTAAAACTTTAAAGATCTCAGTTCCCGGAAGGTGTAAAAATAATTGACGTGACAGTAGTTTTAATAAACATACAGATTCTAGTTTATTTGGTTGATACACCGAGACTCTGGCTACATTTATAGCACCTCTTCGTGAACCATTCGCAATAATTCAATGGCAGCTCGTCAACGGTTGCCAAGAGTATTTACAATGTCTTTGGCGATGCTGTCCCATTCACACGATTGGTCGGTTTTGTATATTCCACGATGTGTCGATTTTCTCTTCTCCCATAGTGTAGGGTTACTGTAACGCGTAACGACTCACACAGTTGTGTTTAAAGATGGTTGCCTAAGTTAGGAAAAATAGCTGAAATACTGTGTCTATGTCGTGGGCCCATTGACTAACATAAGCGTTTTGTGTGTCCTGTCGCTACTGAAGTCATCCAAGCTGACTCTGGGTATATCCATTCGATGTTCTAAAATATTCACCTGTGTATATAAACTGTGATTGTAGCATTTGAAGTGCTGGACTATTGGGCGATTTCGATGTTTAATCGACTATTGATCGATACATTAGGTGCAAACTACAAAAAAAGGTTTTTGTTAGGACAACTGTCACACCAGGGCTTTTTTAAAATTACGCTTGAACGGGCGACAATGTAGAACAAGCTCATTTGTAGCGCCCTTATCATTTATTAGAACGCCTTTAGTTTGGTGAGCAGAGCAATTCTGGCCCCTAACGCGCTACCATAACCTCGTGTCCCAGGCCTCAAGCTTTGCGGTAAACGCTGTGAAAACTCCTTCTTGCTGCTTGTCGAGGAAGTGTCGCGACATAGCATCAAACTGTAATAGTTAGGACGCAAAAGAAGGCACCCAGCGCAAGCTATCCTTCACTGTCTGCTGCCAGTACTTAAAATATTTACTAACTTCTGTAATTGCGAAGTATCTATTTTATTTAATCAAACCTCTACGTTTAATGCCAAAAATGAACGTCCAAAGCATGTGGTAATCCATCCTGCCCATGATGAATTTTATAGAAAATCAGTACCGCTTGTTTTATAGTCTAGTTTCGATTGCAAAGATGAAACTATTTCAGCCGATTTTTGGGATAGGCCTTATCACTGTTATAAAACTATAACATCACATCAAATATGCCACCAGTTCTTAGCGCGCTCAAATCAATTTGTCTCTGGACTCTTTGATAAAAAGCCGAGCCTGCCACACACGACCGACAACTGACTCCCTAATATGAACAACAAGAATACGAATGATTGATAGTCCAAAAACTGTCCCGTTGCTACAAGATCAAGTAAAACGCATCCATTTGTTCACAAAAGCGAATAAAGATGACGGAACAATCGGCACTAAAAAAAGAGCCGCCATTAGCCAGAGACTAGCTGGTCATTTCCCTTTTACGCGGCTGTCATAGCAGTGGCCCCAACAACTCGCAACTTAAGCAGGACAAGAAGCAGTAATAGTACTGCTGGCTTTTGCGGCGATGGCGCCATGATGGACCAGCCCGTCAGCTTAACACTACGCTTCTAATGCCGATGGCATTATACGGGGCTAGCTACCGCCATCCTATCCCGACGCCTTGATGTTGCTGTTTCTGCTGTCACAGAACCATACCTGGCACTTTAACGACGGTCCCGATGGCGTCTTGTCGTGGCGACCGCACTTCGCCTGCACTAAGTCAAGGCGCTGTCGGCGCTGATTTCGAATGTGTCGCCGCCGTTCGCCGCTTTTGGTGGCGGGGATGGTGACTGAGACTGGCCCCTGTCTCACTGTTGCCTCCCCAGTTGCTGGAGCAGATTTGGGGTAGGTCGGGAATCATTGTTGAAATCGGCGCATAGCATTGGTCGTGGCCGGATAGACAAACACGTAGAGATTTAGTAAATCTTGACGGTTTCATTCTCGTTTTTAGTCAATTGTTTATTTTATCCTATGCACAAGAGTGTTAGTTTACTAGTGTAGAATCTCTGCAAAAATACAGCAGAAGCAACTACTTGTGTCAAAAGCCTTTCTTTTCTGATTTGTTATTAAGAGTTACTGTGATCTGATGATGGTGCTGTTGATTGCCTAGGTGCCTAGATGCCTAAAAGGTGAGGACTTGTTCTGTCAAGAAGAGTATGGCCGAATCGGTGAAGATGGATCTATATGATATTCGAACGTGTGAAGCATAGCGATTTTTTTGCTTCAGTCATCTCGTTGGAGCACATGACAACGGCGAGGATGCTCACCTTAAGGAAATTTCTGCACTGGTACGTGAAGTGCCCGGGGTAGCCGCAACGACTGCATGACAACACGGAGGGCTTCTCCATAGAAACACAACGTCTGGTAGCGCTCTATTGCTAAGGTTGTTCAATGTCCACGGCATTCGCACGCCTTAAATGAATTGAGTGATTTTTTTAATGCTGCGTACAAGTAACGTTTACCTATTCACGAACAAGTTATGTGTTTAAGAGTTCTAGTCGCATTAATCAAACGAATCAAGTCTCACTCAACCGATCGATCTGTTTTTGTCGTGTTTGCCAAATTTTGCATGACGTCACAAAACAACCAGAAATAAAATTAGCAAAGCATTTGTAAATGATACAATTCAGATTACTAAGAGGCGTTTTGGTTTTAGTGCGTAGGTGGTTCTATAGCTGTACGATAGAGCTACAATCTACAGAAAGCCACGACTGCATTCATCTTAAATATAGCTGAATGAGTGAAATATGACTGTCAATTGTACGAGCTTCTGTACAAACCTGAGAAACTTGGTGTTACAACTCTCAGCAGCAACGTTCCTGGCGCGAAGCGCCTTCGAAGAATGCCGATTTGAACATATGATTCAAGCAACGTGCTGACATTGTTCAGCCGAAAGAGAGGGTAATTCGTTGGCGCCAATTTTTAATTGAGCCGGTTTCAACACAGCTGGGATTATATTCTACCGGCACTTGTCTCGTGTATCAGTGCGTGTATGTGTCCATGTGATTATGTCAATTATGAAGGTAAATCTTAGGTGTGAGTGAATAAAGGCGAAACGGGTTCATGAACACGGTGCTTTTATGAATATTAGTTGATTTCACTCGGTGTCCAACTACAGATTGGACAATATCCCCTAGCTGCTTGTGAGTTAAATGAATGTGCCTTTAGTGAGAGATGGTTTAAATATATTAGTTATATTAAGCACTACAGGTGAATCAAATCTACTCGTAATGGCATTTTGGCAAAAAGTAAAGAAGTGCAAATCTAATACAAGCACATTTCATATAGCATCGACTGAAAATGGCTATGACTGATATTGTTGTTATAAGCTTTCTTGCTTATCTATATGATAACCATTATTTAACAGAAGATCAGACTTAGCGCGCAAATAAAGCAACGATACAAATGTTCGTGGTCAGAGCACGAAAACGAATCCCATTCAGCCTGTTGGCCAAATTAACTGTAACAGAATATACTGAAGAATTTCATTATACCAGCTTAATTCAGCATATTCAGGTTATAATAAAAAACTGAAAAAAAAGAAGTATTATCGAAAGAAAAACTAGACCTTTGAATTTCGCCATTTAACACAGTATCGAAGGTGCATAATTGAATATGAAATTTGAAAATTATCATATCAACATCGTAAGATAATTTGATTCTTTTGATATGCTTTGTAGCGTGGATCGCTTAGTGCTTTCAGCATAACTGCATAAACTATGTAGACATATAAACATACCGAAAAGCTGACTAATAAATTATGTTCATAATTTAGCGGCGTAATTAGGCATATTTACTATGTTTGATGATTGCAATAATGAGAATATTGCTAATATTAAGTTGGACAAATAGAGGCAAAATTCGATGAGAGACATTCATACTTCGTAAGGTTCACATAAGCAGCTGCGGCTATGTGGCTTAAAGTATTACTTGCGGCTATGAGTTACGCTTGTTCCGTTCGTATTCTGATTAATGGAATGACCAGGTATTAATGACTAGGCGTCTTTTACAACTAAATGCCTATAAAAATTCGAATTTATGAATCGACAAGATATTTTGCGTATTTGTTCTCTTTGTTTGCAGGCGCGCTCTAAAACTACTTATCATTTTATCAACGATGGCCTTCGTTACATTGGCACTTCTCCAGTACCAACAAAAATTAAAGAGACCTGCTCGGGCGCGATGGCGTACCGTGATGGAATCCAGTTCCGAGTGTGTGGCACCAGTGAAGGAGTTGGGGTGCGCAGTTCCGGCATTTACCGCCGAATGGTCCACTGTGCCCAGCCTAGACATTCAGATATATTCTGCACACATTGATGATCGATTAGTGGTTGATGGAGAAATACAGAACTTCATTAGAATCATAGGTAGGCGTTTCATTTCTCTTCTAACCTTTTCGAGTTCGGCTTATGATGGATCATACATTTATATATATCTATAAGTACACATTTTTCTTTGATAATCTTTCAGGTTTACTTCGTAAATCAGCTACGCAGGTGCGGCTTTATTGCCTAGCCAATTACCCTTCTGGGGAGCAAACCACGGCAAGAGCGACTCTTGATAAAGTATGGATTGATTCCTGGGACAATGCTACGCACAAGGACCTCTTGACGCCATACATAATTTCGTGTCACATTGGAGTTGATTTAGAGGAGCAACCGAGCGGCGTGTCGATACTGACCGATCCTTGCGAGTGTCCATCTAACAATCTGCGGTTAAGGTATCGTTTAGGTAGTTTACGTCCGCAAGCGACACTTACAATAATACTATTTTGTTTTAAGATGTATCGCTTTTGGCTAACTTAGACACGTAAACAAGATCATGCTAGCTTTAGTGATTCTGTGGAGTTACAAAAATCGTTTTATTTGACTGAAAAAACATTTAATAGTTCTATCTAACTGCATTTACGTACATTCTGTTCTTTTGTTTTTGTAGGAGACAAATGCCACCACCCAGAAAGGATTTCATGGTTTGCGTAAAAGGATTATTCTTTTCCAGAGATAAAAGCCGCGAACTGATGCAATGGCTGGAAATGTTATATCTACTAGGCGCCAAACATATCCATATGTACAACTATCTGCTTCATAAAAAAACCAAAAAGATGTTAAAATTCTATCAACGTTATCGTAATTTAACCTTACAAAAGATCAGTTTACCGCCGAGGGAATATCCACAAGGAATGGGTTTTTTGAAAAATTTCCTGGTCAACAAGGCGTGGGAAAAACGCCGTCTTGAACTTGTGCCTTACAATGACTGCTACTATCAGTACAAGGACAAATTTGACTACATCACCTTATTGGACGTGGACGAATTAATTGTGCCCCGTGATTTGGATGCCACTTCGTGGCCAACACTGATGCACAAAATACGTGACGTAGAAGCTGAAGCAGTTAGCAAGTATGCGTCATTCGCGTTCAGTAACGCTTACTTCTTTCGCGACAAAGACAGCCCTATGGATATTCTCGTGCAAACGCAACGGTCAGCGAATTTATCTCGGCCTGGATTTGCTGTCAAGAGTTTCTTTACAGCAAATGGCTCATTAGCCGTATTTAATCACTACACGTTGATTCCGCTGAGACCGGAGATTCGTAAATGCGCAATTGTTGGCTCGGATATTGGGCTGGTGCATCATTACAGGGATAGTTGCCCTCAGCTAATGGAGAAAGAGTGTGAAAATGATTTCATGAAGTTTGTTATTAAGGACGACACTGTGCCTAAGAAGTTTGCGCGAAGACTCCATCAAGCCCTTGAAGCTGTTACGCATGATATGAAAAACGCACTTTTTTAGAAAACAGCAGATGGTCTTTTTGAATATTTGCTTATCACGAATCATTGCTGAAGGAGCTACAATAGTTTTGTGCGAGTACTGGGGTACGAATTGTTTCCTGGAAATGCATATGGACCAGTGCAAAAAGTTAATTTGAAAAGAAACGTGTTCACTTCTCACAAATGATTTAAAAGCACAATGGCGCAATAAATCTATAATCATGACTTGTTAAAAAAAGCCGAAGTATGTAGCATGCTTTGTAGAAATCAAATCGTTGAGTGTAAATAATATGTAAAGTGTAACCACCACTGCAATCATAGCCAGAATAATATAACATACGGTTGTGAATATAATTGAGCAAATAACGACGCAGGTCATAAAGATAAAAAATACGAGCATAATGCTATTTACAACAGGAGTCACCGTATTGTGCCAGAGAGTGAGCATTTTACAAGCGCCTTGTTTTCAGCTAGAAGGGCAATTCTTTTTGTAAATATTTTAGACAATTTAAGTAATTTATGTTAAGCTGATTAGAATGTAGTGCCAGTTATTTTTACGTGGCCGGAGAGACAAGGTTTCAGTCAAGTTTTAGCAACAAATTAATCTATTATGTTCTAGGCCGCGCTTTCTACGGTCTTCTCCATTCTCTTATCGATTTCGAATGGCCGAGCTGGGTGAACGAGGTGCATCATTTAGAACCAAGATGCCATCTCTGAATTTAAGAAACCAACTTTAAGCCGTTCGTCATGCATTTAAATGCCCAGTCTACACTATACAAGACACAAATGTCCCAGGCTGTTTCGATAACTTTTTGGTCTTAGCAAAAGGCGAAACAAAGTAAAGGTCGACTTACTTTCTGTCCAATCTAATAGTTTTTATACAAAAATAATAACAGTGTGTATAATAGAAGATCTATACGCGAAATACTATTATACATCACAAATGCAATATCTCGTCGCGTTGTGTGAAAAAGCATGATTGTCTCAGCTTCACATTCAGAAGTATAAGTAAAATGTCTATACTTGAAAAAAATGTTTAGCTATCATCGCTCTTGACAGTATAGGAATTAGATTTAAGCATTCTAATACATGTTACACCACTCAACTACTACTGCGTCGACACTTCATGTAAAATTCCACCTTTATTATAACAACTGGTTTTACAAGATATTTTAGAGGAATGAAAAATACTTCCTACACCATAAATGATTTTCCCGTATCTGTTTGATTATGTACGTTGATTATTATAACTCCGTTTTAATAATATTGTATATAGCAAAGGTAATACGAATTTTTTTGGTGGAATGGGTTCTTTTGTGCGTGTAGCGAAATTGCGAAATCTACGCCTTCAGCGTTTTTTATACAAATATGTGCAATTAGGAAGGCCTTAGAGTAAAGAGACAAAGATTTCATGCTGAAAACACTTAGATGCAAGCCGTACCTGTTAGGTAACCAAAAAAAAATCTGACCAAACATATTGTTTCAACAACTTCACAGAGCGCTATCCTAGGAGCTACTGAGGTTCTAAGGTTTAGATCGATGAAGTCCGAGGGAACCGCGCAGGTGCAAAAAAAGCCTTTGGCGCATGTGTAGTACTTGATGGCAGCATTCTGTTTTCATTAGCTGAATCGGGATTCAAATGTTATAAATCCCAAAACTAACTAATATATAATACAGAATAATGTTATAAACGTAATCCTCTATAAAGCAACAGAGTTAATTCTTAGGTTAAAATGTGCAACTTGAGCTGTGCTTATCATGGCTGAGGTGCTCATTGCATTCTGGAAAAGTTATTCAACTTAATAGATAACTCATATAGTTACGCTTAGTGATAACATAGTGCAAGGTTTAGTCAGCTAAAATACTCGATTTCTACTTTCATCTCGTCGTGTAGTAGAATCTAATTGATCTTTAACCTAAGTTGTTAGCTAGCGTCTTCACTCGTGGGTACAGCAGTGTTTTCCCGTTTAAGTTACCCGTAATTACTGAATTCATTATAAGGTTGAAGATCACTCTTAGGACATACATTACGATACGCACATCGCATAATTAAATCGATGAAATTGTGCTTTGTTGAAGGCGATAGACGTATAGAACAGGTAACCGATACAAACAGTATGACATGACATATAGACATGAATTAAGTTATGCATTAAAGAAGCTTTTCATTTTCTATCTCTGTTACATTCGTTGGCATTTGCATTGCTCGGGGTCAGCAATTATCATTCGCAACATGTTCCCGGCCACGTTTATCATGGCATAAAATTTCTCTCGTACAGTACCGACATCTTTACATTCGTCCGAGATCACATTATAGTGAATTTTTCAAAAATATTACCTATTATTGAACAAAGTGCATCGACTTGATATCAGACATATTGGAGAAAACGTGAATAAGGATAGCTATCAGGAACATATTTTGTTTATTACAACTAATAGCTGGCGATGTCTGACGATAAGACGAATTAAAATTTTTTTTTCGTGTTTTGTGCAAGAATTTTTGAAGAAAAAATGCTGTTTCAACTCTGAAAACATATTTTTTTTCGCCTTTTATGAAGGGCACAGATTTTTTTTGCTACGAATTGACCAGTTCCGACGAGCTGGGGACACATATAATACATTTTCTATCTCTAAAATGGGTACTTCGGCGTGAACATCATAAGAGCAGAATGTGGCTTTATGCTGTTCTCCTTATGTGACAATTGGGTGGAAACTTGTTCCGGATTTCGAACGGTTCTCTGAGCGAATTTCCGATAAGTGCTAATTAAAGGTTTGTAGCCATTAATATGGCGAGCGTTTTCAAAAAATAACATTTTTAAATATTCTCTGAAAATATTTATTAGAAAAATACCAAAATATCAAAGACATTTGTTCTATGTAAGGTATTACTTTGTTGGCGCTAAAAAAAATATACAAAAAACATTTTTGATACCAATGAAAAGCTTTAGATGTGTAGAGTCTAATGCAATTTATAGTGTACACAAATTGCAGTTTTCGGATCCGTTTGAAGGAACAAAGCTTGACTGCTGATGCATGTAAGGAGATCTTTCTTAATGGCAATCGACAGATTTCGACCAACTGATTAAAAGTGCAACGGATATTTTTATAGCTAAAATGAGTATTTTTAAAAATATATTACTCAGTAAAATGCCAAAACGTTCCGTTCACACATATACGATGTAGAGAGAGGGTTGAAATACGTCTCGAGCGGCTTCCAAGTACATTTTAAACAAATTTTTTGGTGAATGCTAATTAGAAAGTTAGAATTGATGACTAATGTAGAATTCCTGTGAAAAAAAAGCCTAATTTATTTTAAGGGAATAACGCCAAAGGATATATATGAATAATTATCATCAAGCGGAAATATAAAAGTAGGCGAATTCCTAGAAATAACACCAATCTGCTGATGGAGACCTATCATTTCATGTATGTAACTTCTTATTAACAAAAATAAATGAAAAAAGATAGAAGGTACATAAACTTTAATGACTGTTTAGGAATAGAGTCAACCAAGACATATGAAATGATTGTAAAGTATCTATTACACGCTAAAAGTACTGGTTATAAAAAAAAAAAAAAAAAAACTTTTGGACATTCAAGAAGTTCAAGGAGCAATAGGTTATCCGATTATCGGTTGCGACATTTTGACTCGACTCGTATACGTCCCTGTTCACCGAAAACCAGGTCAACCAGCCAACATCAAAAAACACCGAATTCATATTGTAAAAATGTGCCGGAAGCCAACATACCACGAGCAAGACAGATCAAGAATTAACGGACTTTTATATAGATATTTATAGATTTGCAAGTATCAATTATTATGTTCCATACCATTTCAGTGCTATATGCGTCTTTTATAGTTAAAAGAAGAGGCAAAGTGGCCAGATATATTTGAACGTTGCAATTTATTTTGATACAAATATGTTGCTCGTTGTTACCTTGAGCGTTATTTACGCCTACCAGGCTCCTAGAATAGTAATGTCCGTGTGGCTCTGTTGTGATTCGTTTGTGGCACTCCGTTTTGCTTCGAAGCGAGCTAAAGCGAACTTAATAATCTCGTCCATAATAACATAAACTAGCAACTGCAGTAATATTATTTCGCTCACTCAACAGTGTCATTTCTTAGAATAAATCAGGTGGCAACTGGTAACGTTTATTTTGCACTGAAGAAAATCCTAACTCGGTTCACGACGTAAACCTTTTTCATATGGAAGCTGCTAAGTAATTGCCAGGCAACTGCAGACGATCGCGCTAGTTGTGCTTTTGCGGTTCGCAACATTGCGCCTATGAATATTAGGATCAACTACTGTCGCAAACATTCTATTTGTACTACATCTTGTGATCGGTTCGTGGCAGAGACCTCCATAACGAGTAGAATTAAAGGATACGCGGCGGAATATATACTGTTTGAGTGAATAGATTTTTCACTGCGTAGCTCCCCATTAAGAGTCAATATGAGGACGAAAAGACAAAAACCGTAAGTAATAGCATTTTTCAAATTTCTACTTATTATTTTAATGAAAGAGCAGTATAATTGTCGGCCGAGCGGTTTGTTACTTTGTGTTATTTTTGTTCGCGCAAAAAAGGGGAATCGGATTGCCAGTATCTAAATGGGCATAGCAACGATATGAGCTGCTTTAGTTCAAAGAAAGAAAACAAGGAGAATTAGCGATATATGTCAAAAATATTATAATGGCATCATCAATAGCCCATAAAAATCGAATATAGTTTCGAAGTTGAAAGTAGTAAGATAGATTAACTCGATTCTATAGCCCATTTGCAGGTTCGTATTTAACAACGAAAATAAGGCTTTGGTCAAAGTCGGATTATTTCCGTAGTTGTCAAGTGAATTTCACAAGTGGCCTAACGCTGGACAAAACTCCAAAAACTGAACTATTTGGATTGATTGTCTCTATGGGCTCTCTGTATTTCGAGCTTTCCCTCCGGTATCTCCGTTTGGCGTTCTGCTAGTCGGCTGATTCCCAGCACGAAACGAAGTTTGTCTTCGCCTGGGTTCGAACGTAGACTACAACGTGCCTCTAAGATGAGACGGTAAACATGTTACGCAAGAAGGTATCATGAAAGCTCTGTGTCAAGGGCTAGCAGCCATAAAGCAGCCTGAGGAACCTCTGTAAAATTTAACACAAAAGAAACTCAGAGACATAGACCGTCCCTAAGTTTAGCAAGTAAACACGTTGTCCACTGCGCTATCACGGGGACGCCTGTTCCTATATTTAAACCTATGTCTTGACGCTGAGAAGTGAGGCAGGAGTATTATCAGGTACACTTCGTTCTCATTAATAAAGCTGCGTAAACGATGAAACAGCGCTGCCGTCTTCACAACACGTTTGAAAAGCAGCCACGAGCATTGTCGTACATAGTTCAGTAGTAACATAGTAATACTAGTAGAAACATAGTAATGCAATTTTTCACCTTAGTAAGTAAACAATGAATCATTCTTATAGCAAAACTCAGTGTCCCAATCAAGCTAACATATATACACTTTCAAGTGCGAATTTTACGTCTGCTGGCTCGGCCACGGCTATAGTCGGCGTTACAGAAGAACAGATGATAAACAAAACTGGACGCTACTAAGAGGCTTCAGATCGTAGTCGACGTGGTGGGCTAGCGTCCTGTTAGATTGTTTTGTGTAAAATTTGTTTCCAGCGTTGTTGAACTGTTTGACGAAGTATTAATGTGCCGAATATTTTCGAAAGACTAATGAAAATTTGCCTCGAACGCAACACGATCATAGCAAATCAAATATGCTTGTATTCATTAACGAGGTTAAAAAAAATGAACACATGGCATGCGTCTGCCGAGTACGGATGTAAGAAAGGCCACAGAAAGTTCGACTTGTTTTTCCCTCTTTAACACGTCAGGATCTTACGTCTCATTAGCTATAGAGAATACGAAACATGCAATTAATTTATTGGCGATACAAATGGGCTCATTCAAATTGGTAAATTGGGATCAAGTGCACTTCAGCTTACTAATCATTGTACAATCTTAAAAGTGCTGACGCCTATGACTGGTGGGAGCCTGATAGGATACCTGATCGAATCTGTCGTCTGCAACAGAAACTTCTTCTGCGTAGCATCACTTCTCTATACATCGTCCTGTCTAGAAATTTTTGCTTTTTTGTAACTCAGAGCACGTGTCATTTTATGTGAAGTACTCAAGTTGCCAATAGGTAGAGCGAAGAGAAAAATTGACCAAGAAAATAAGTGGATCGAAGAGCACCGAAATGCATGGTGTTTATGAACATGTTAAGCTTAAGTAAATAATGATATCAAAATATTGTATTTGTTAGTCGGCGATGAAGAATAGTAATAAGGTCGAAAAAAATCTTTCATGAGCATTCGTTTTTTCGAGAACGAGTTGGAACAGCTGCACAGTAAGGACAAGGATAGCCTATCACTGATCGACTTTATTCCTTTGGCAATTATCGGCAAACTACGCAATAAGTCATAGCTCACTACAATAGTCAGCATATATATATATATATATATATATATATATATATAACCTATGTATATTATCGCCAAACTTGTAAAGCAAGGGTTGTGAAAATCTATAGGTGAGCATAGCATTTTTCGGCGGATAATAACATTCGTTTCTTGATATACATGTGTGTGATAATCAATTATACTCAAGTATTGGCCGTTGAATTGATAGTCAGATAATGTTCTTCATTAGCAAAACGGAGTGCATCAAAAGTGTTGTATATTTTTGTACCTGGGAGGCGTTTATACTATATAGTTCATCCTAAGAAATCCCTGTTTTTAAATAATGATGTCTCCCGTCGGCTAGTGAATGTTGGATGTTATCTTTCTTGATAACAAAATTGAAACAAGTAAGTCAATGAACAAACCCATACATAGATGTAATTCGATGCTCTTCATCAGTTTGCAGCCCTTCTATGCAACACTATTTGCCAGTTCGATTGACTGCGCAATTGTGGAACAAGGGATTGTAGCGTAACTTTCTCGAATCGACAAATACAAGGCTGTTGTCGCCAGTAACGGATCTGCTGACCATACATTCAGAGAGAACAGAATCGGTGTATGAATTATTTTCAATGAAAGACAGAATGAAAACCTGCAGTTACGCTATGTATTACGATATGCTCGTTTGAAATCACTATTCTGGCTCAAAACAGATTACATGGTATTAGATTTTACAAAACTTCTAAAAACTAAACGTATGCTTTACAATAGAAACTGTCCAGATCTATTTGTAAGAGGTGAAGCCCCTTAGTTTTTTCCTTTTTATTAGAGTGTCTCAAGATCAAATAAATGCTAATCAAGTACGAAGTTCTAGAACACGCAAAGAAGGCGCGCTTCGGTACGATACCGGACGTGAAAGTCGAAACATAGAAGGGAGTCTATCAGCACCTAAGATGCCTTGAATTCTATGAAGTTTGCTTCCCATTGTATCATTCGTCGTTGTTAAACATCGAATAGAAGCCTCAGACATTCAAAAAGTATCTGAACTTAATCGAGCAGAGCTGATTTTAGAACTGCAGAGAAAACCTAAGCGTATACATTAGCTAGATTGTTGAGGTGTTGACATAGCATTATGCGTATGCTTCCACGCTAAGTCATTACAAGACTACAATTTATCTACGGAACTATGCTATGAAATTATCTTACGCTGTTATCCTCTGGGTGCAACTGAGCAAAGTTTTTCAACTACAGATCTGCACATTGGTCATGGCATAATATAGTAAAGAACATTGCTCTTTCCTTACATTGACGCCCTATTCCTGAAAATAAAAATATCAATTCAACTTTCAATTACACATATCACCAATAATAACTATGATTAAGAATAAAGGTGACAAAAGTCGATGAAAAACGATTTTGAAAAAATTAATATTTCGTCAATACCCTGCAGTATTTATGAGATTATCATTAACTAATAATAAAAAGAAAGGAGACTTCGTATCGTCATGGAACTGTCCTATTTGAATTTTTTCCGTTTTAGGCGAATGGAGGAATGGAAACCACTGCTAGGGGCGGAGTCGTCCCTCAATCCCCTAGTTTTTGATGCACCGCCTATGGCAGCTCCTCCATCCTACAGCGAAATCCAGCACGAAATAGCCGGAATGGGTATTCCCGACCCTACGTCAGATATCATTATGTGTGAAGTTTGCAACTACCCTATTAATCGATCCGGAGCGGAGCGCAAAAAAGTAATTATGTGTCCGCGTTGCCAAGAAGCGACTGTAAGTATGCATATCACTAGCTGCTGCATCATAGTTCGAATAATAGCAATAATAATAATAATATACATGGACTTTGTATGTAAGCAGAAATTAGTGCAAAGATTAATTGTAATATTTATGTGCCGTAGTATATAAAATTGGCCTGGGCATGTTCGCTCATTTGTACAGACGATATTGATAAGCTCTGCATTTTTTTTACTTTGCTGGCTTAGACAGCTTGTCGCAGTTTGACAGGCTATGTATCATCATCATTATTTACTGTTATTTAAAAATTTCCAGGCATTAGGTGAGCCTGAGAAGGGAAAACGGTATCTCCGCTGTCCAGACTGTAAATGTCTGCTCATCGTGCGGACTAATTGCAAGCAAACCATTTGTCCGAGAGAAAACTGGTATGAAAACTATTAGAATACTGATATTTTTCAATTCTCTTCTGCTTTTGTTGTCGTGTGTGTGATGTTAATCATTAAGCAGATCAAGCAATATCGACTTTTCAGAATGTTACATACTCAGAGGCGTGCATAATAGAATATTCGTTGGACCGAGGTTTCGAGGATTTCACAGGTTTTAAAAAACAGAGATAGAAGTAACTAAGATCAATGGATTCCTGTTATATGTAGTTGATTATCAAACGTATCATCTAATTTAATTAGCAAGAGACGACATTTCATCTCAAGATAGTTTCTTGCCATTTTCAGTCAGTACGCCCGAGTGTTGTCGCACAATAAGATCTTGAATACACGCGTCTAAATCAAAATTTAAATATATGCAATGCCAACATTTTGTCCCTATTACGTGCCAAAATAGTTTCTCCTTCTAACAGTTTTTTCCTAATCGTTTGAACTGTCGTAAACAGGTTCGTGAATTCGACGTTTAGTAGTTGTTTCACCACCGGGTGCGCCGCAAGGAGAATTAAAATAATTAAATACCTGTTATTTACTATAGCCATTCTAGCTCGAGGCAAGAGTACTCGGTCAGAAAGGAATAGCTTTTCATCAACTCTATTTCGTTACAATTTTCAGTAAACTTGAAATTGATGTTAAAACTGGAAAGCCTGCTCGAGACAGAACTTCAGCATCGGCATTTAATACGCCCACACAAAGAAATAATCAAGAACCACAGTACCGCATCGTGTGTGGATACTGCCACGGCGCGTTTGTGCAGGTAAACTGATGGACAGGCAGAACGCTTCATCTAGTTCGCGAAGGTCTTATAAAATTCTGCCAGCAGAATAGCAATAATAATTTTTCGAACTGTGTAAACAGCTATTCATTTGATGAAAAGATAACATACTCTTTTTTTTGTAAGCGCAAATTTGAATAGTTGCGAAGTCGACCTATTCAATCAACGATTTCAGCTAAGTGACACACGTGTATAACTAACCCCAGTGATGTGACATAAATAATACGTAATTAGCTTTTTTTGTAACTGTTGGTTGCAGTGATAAATTTATGGTCGATTCATAGATAGACTCGATCAAGAATTCGAGCATTTACGATTGTAGTGTCTCCAATATAAAATAAAGCTTTTTTTATTCAAATACAAAAACTGTATGCTTACGAAAATCAGCTACCGTATAGCAATTTACCAAATGATGTTACTGTTTACTTGTTCTTCTATGTCTTTATGCCTACTATGTGCTTTTTATAGAGTGTATTGCCTGCAAAAAGGCTTCAGTGTCCCCTCTGCCGAAAAAAGTCTCATATCGGAGAAGGATCGGGGCATCGTTCAGCGGCCTGTTATACTGGGCTGGGTTTAGCATGCATCGTCATATGTATAGCTTTTATGGCCACAACAATGGGGTTGCGGCATAATGCAGGCTATTGGTATATGTATACGAGTAAGTCATTATTTCTTCTATTTAATTTTTTCATAGCAATAACGCATAGCATAAATATGACAACTAGAGAATTGCACTCCAGAGATAATTTAAAAAACTTTTTTTCTCAACGGCTTTTCGTTGCCTTTGTCTTTATTTTAGTTCTGTTACTTGCAGCTACTGGATTAATCGTGGTGGGCCTATGGAATCTATGTATGAGGCATAGTACTCTGCAAATAACAAATTTTGCAGTGTGATATTATCACAGGAAATGTGGAACACCGAAAAAGAAAAAAGAATAACTTCACTATGAATTTCGAATGATATTGTACGATATTCGCTCCTCTGTATCGTACCACATACATTAACCTTAAACTGTATTGTGTCTAGTAACTTAGTGGAATCTAACTGGTAACATGTAGGTTTTGCTTACAATCGGCAGCCGTATGTAACGAATAATGTTAGGAGCAATCTAACAGTGCTAGACAAAGGCTTTGTGGTACATTTGTGAAAATATAAGACGTAAATATAATAATCAGGAAAGGAGGAAAGGAGCATAAAGCTTGCACAACAGCGTGATAATGTAATAAGAACAGTTATTTTTGCGTTTAACGCAAACGAACGGGCAAGTGCAAAAGAAATAATGGTGTTAATTTGTGTGGCTTTATTAACGCAAATGCGGCAGAAAGCAAACGGTGTAATCGGCCAGGTTGAAGCAGAAGGAAAAACATTTATTGACCAAAACACGTTGCTTGTTGTTTGTTTTGAATTTAAAAATTATGATGCGGCAACAGAGCATGGTTACACGGTTCACACATATTCATATGAGAAATTATTTATTTTCGCGATGCACTCCTATTTATTGCAAATGAAGGGTCCTATCACATAAAGTAGCAGTTTATATTCTTGTGTATTTATTTATTCACCGTACATAAATTTCAGCTAAGATAGTCCGACTACTGACGTAGTATAGAGTATCTTGCATAGCTTAAAAAGAGAGATACTTATTATAAATTATTTGTAGATCTCGACGAAGCTTTTATGTACTCACTTTACCGTCATATATATTACGTTGCTAGCAGCATCTTTACAATAATTTGTATTTTTGTATATTGTATATTGTAAGGATGTTACTGTTATGCTTTATCCGTTTGTTTTCTGTGAACATACTGTGACATATTCGTAACGGGTTGCTTTAACTTCGTTTTTTACCAACCCCTATTCATATCTGTGGATTCCTCTGTCCATTCCAATATATACACGTAGTTATATAGTTTAAGCAAAACCTCTATTACTGTGTTCGTTACAAGTAAATTTGGAATCGTATGCTTTTCACTATAAGTCCTCTGACTAATCAATGCGGATTAAATGTATGTACAAAAAGTTTTGAATGGAAGTTTAGCAGGTAACTAAATATTGCACGTGGACTTATGATATCGTTTGCATTATCTCCAACACTTAGTTGAATAACTTAGTTGAAGCCTCCATGTAACAATGTTTTCTAACGTAGCGTTTAATCGAATCTAATCAATGAATTTCTCGTTGAGCTTGTTCTGAAGATAAGTATACATATCTCTACACAGATACGACAGGTGACATATTTGATGGATTTTGACCGCCAACTGCTTGTAGTTATGCATGGGATTGACCGACTTACTTGGTTACGGGCAGGTTTAGATTTGAATTAAACCAACATTAAGATTGGAGATAAAAATAGTCAACTTAGGTCATACACAGCTTAAAACCATCAAGTTCCATAAATATACTTATAGGAGTTCGCTAGTTTGGCTTTTAAGTTAATAATATCATGTATACTAATGTTAGAAAAGGCAAAACGTGTAACCTAAAACTATATAGAGTAGTCAGTATAATGTACTTTAAAAGCTAATTTGAGTGAAGTGTTTTTGTTCGGAAGGAAAACTAACTTGCGAAAATTATAGGTTAAGATATAGGCTGTCGCAAAATTAGGTAACCCCAAAAAGGACGAGGGGTCCCGAAAGGTCGTTGTATACACAGCGGAATTTTGTTGGAAACTCTGCCAAAAAAAATAAAACAACTGAGTCCACTTTTTAAAAAAAAAAGTACAATAGAGAAAATTAGTACAATAGAGAGAAGATTTGAGAACGCTTGATGGTGTAAGCACGTGTTGGTTACTGGGAGATACAGACACTCTGTGAACCTAAAGCTGACGCACCAAAATGCATTTCGCTCTTCTCAACAAAATTGCTAACATCTTATGTATTTCGGTTATGACAAGAAAAGGATCCTGAAAAAAGGATGTTTCAGACCTTAGGTTTAAATTGAAGCAATCATTCTCACTCAACTTTACAAACGTAACCTTATCCGTTGTACAAGTTATTCAGAAATATACGCTTCGAATTTGCTCCCTACAAATTACAGGTATATTGGAAACTTATTTAAAAGCCCCTTGAAACACTCATTATGTCGCGTTTCACTCCCTCACTCGCAGCGGTCAGGTATAAAACAGCAGCGCTTTTACAAAAATTAGTGGCATCTTTATAATGATCCGACAAAGACAAAGGTTGCTAAGGGCATATGTGACGCGCCCGTCGGAAGCAAACTTTGTTCCTAAACACGTTCCAATATATGTGACTACCATTTCTACAGCAGGAAAAGATCATCTGCATACATTTTACAGAAAAAAGCGATGAGGAGATAGTAGTTGTCCTTAACTGTTCGACTTTTCAGTAGTGTGTGTACGTGTACTATCCAGTATTTATAGGACAGGCGAATGTCTACACGTAAGCTTCCATATTCGTACGGGAAATAACAAAAATACACATACATTCATCTAGCAATCACTCGTAAGTATCCAGAGACGAGGTAGACATTCACCTGTATGCACTCGATCATTTAATATTTCGTTAGAATCTAGTCTCTACTTGCTTCCGCGTGCGGCTCTTTTTTACTAAACTACGTCTAGTAGACTCGCATTCCCTGTACGCAGGTTCTTTAACGTAGCTTCACATTAAATTTACATCGGCAGCGTAGAAAATAATTTCCCGCGGAAGAATGAGATATACGGTAAAGTCTGACTGCACGTTCTTGCTATAGTGGCAGACGTACAACAGACACACTGACATGTTTTAACTCGTATTTGGTCCAGTACTTCAACTCATGTTGAGGAACGGCTGGCATTTGTAGCGGTAGACGAATCATGTTGATTTCGTCTTCTTTTTTGATTTTTTTCTCAACCGTACTGTTTGTGGGTTTACAGTTGTTTGCCGTAGCTGGTTTTGAAGAAGGTTTTGTCTTTGAAACAAGTGCGGACTTCGGACGGACCTATAAAAAATGCAACAGAAAAATAGCTTTTTATCTACAAATGTTTAACTAGGCCAAATATACCCAATGGACTATCTGCAAAGCCGGTCTTTCTATTTATATATGTTCAATATGGCGACAAAACATGATGCAAACGACATGGATAAGGTCCATACATTAGAAAAAATCAAAACTTTTCCACAGACTGCAGCGCTGTGAAACTTCATTGCCGTTATAAGCGCGGTAGAGAGACGCGTACAGCTGGTGATTTGCTGGCTATTACAAGCCACCAAGTTTACGTACCCATTCCGTCTCGATATACCCGTATAGAAAGTCGGATGAAGAACAAAAGTATCAATCATGCAGCATTCAATCTTGTTTTGCAGTTTTTCGTCTAATACTCCATAATGCCTGTAATTGACGTCTTTTACGAACAATAATCGGATTATTTGCTACAGGCATAAACACGTGCCTTCCTGTGACCATATGTACGTCTATTCGCATGCAGAAAGCCTCTCAACAAATAAGCAAGAAATAAATCAACCATGGTGTAAACTACCCTAACTAGTAAACAACCCCAATTTACCTGGAGTATATCAACGAGGCGAACATGGGCCTGTCTTGTGAGACCTGTAGCTGGCGTCTGTGTCTTTTCTGCTTTTGGCGTTGATTGTGGCTTCCGAGAAGCCCTGCAACTCTTTAGCAACGATACGTTGTTACGCGTACCAGAGTTGAAAACACCGTTGTTTTTCACTAATGTGTCATTTTTATCTTTTTGCGCTCCTGTTACGGTTTGACCTGATCGATTTTGAGTGCGTTGGGTTTCATTGCGCTCCCTGATGAACGGAATTGTCCGCTGCAGACTATGTTTCGAAAAATCTTCACCGTTCGATTCCGATGGTAAGCGTAAATCCTGAGTCTGACCTGTTCTATGCACTACACCGCTATTCGCCACCGCATCTGGTAACGGTGGTTTGTGGTCGGTTTTTCTACGGATTGGCAACAGCGGGCCAGTTACAGAAAACGTTTTACTTGCTCTTGAAGGCTTGTTCTGGTTTTCTTGGACCTCTTGCAGTTGTTCATGTCGTTCTGGCTTTACTAGCTGTTTCTTATCCGGGGCAGTGGCGTTTGCTTGTCTCGAGCAGCGCATAGCCTTCCTAATTTGTTTTGTCCTCCGCTGAGCTGTCGGCATTTCCTTGTCGTCTCCACTAATGTCGCGCGTTTGTGAGAACAGCAATTTCATTCGTCGACAAGACTGAATTCTAGTGGCATTCAAGTCTTTTCCGTTAACACTAGTTGTTATCAATTCCGAGGTATCAACGGATTCTTCCTTTACTTTCGCTTTCCTCCATCCGACTTCGGCCCTTTTTCTGCTTTGGAGATCACGACGTTGGGGTACCAGAGACGACTTTTTACTCTAAATAAAAACAGAAATGTTTATGAAATTCAAGTTAATTAAAGATGAGCCAGAATAATGAGCTTTCAAAAGGTGACTCCGTTTACTTAGAGGCGCCTTTGTTTATGGTGAAGATAATGCTCCAACGTGTTCTGTGAAGGATGTGTGCAAGGGATGAGATATAGAGCTCACCGTAGATTCTTCGAGTCGAACTAGAACAACCCTTGCCTCGTTGCGCCCATTCAATTTTGAGTCGTTACGAAATTCACCCAAAAGATCCGCTTCCGCAAAGTCCTTTAAAACGACCTGCAAAGAGTAAGCGGATTAGGAAAAGCCGGCTAAGGCCACGTTTATTTTTTGCTTGTTCGTGAAAATGAAGAGATGTTATTTGCTACAAATGTATGCCGAAATAAATAAGCATCCTGCGTAGTTTATAAACAATTTGCGTACTATTACAATAGAATCAAAAGCGAATACAACAAAGCGAGAAAGCCAGCGCTCTGTCAACGAGTAATTGCGAGGATGTAGCAAATACGATAATTTTCTATTTTATGGAAGTCTTGATTTCTACAAAGAAATTTTGAAACACAAGGGAACAACAATTTACAGGTAATAGTTAGCTTGGCCAAGTAGAAATACCAATAATGTGCAAAGAGACAAAAAAACTTTTCCTATACCTTGTAGTGGTACGGTTCATGAACATTTTAAGACGTTCTATGTCATCCATGTACTTCATAAGCGACTTGTTTACCTGAGACGCTCCGCATGGGACACCATCTCCATTCAGTTGAATGTCGTTAGTTGAACTGGCTCTATGCTCATACCCAATCAAGGTGTAATGCTTGTCGAAATTTAAGCGCGATTTCTTAAGTTCCGGTGGTCGGATCGGTGACAGTACTTGTAAGCCACTTGCAGTGCACAAAGCCACTTCACTGCTTTGCCGCCGACGGTGTTTCAAAATAGCGCCTGTTGGCGTTGAAGAGGCCTTCGGTGGAAAATTTGGAATTTTACCAAACTTCGGCGGAGTACGCAACAAAGAGGCTGCTTGATTTTGTAGTTCCGCTCCTAAGTCAGCATTTAACGGACCGTTTCGTTTTGATGAGTACCATGTCAGTCTCGATGGATAGGAAAACAACAAATTGCAGGTGGTAACAGAAGCCAAGGGTGAAGTGGGTGTAATGGTACCTTTAGTATTATGTTGCATGCGTGCACCGACCAGGCTCCCGTTACGATATTTCGCCATTACTGTATAAAGTACCGCAAAGCAATTGATCTATGTTACGTTATGTATGATTATAGCCAGATTAAACGTATGCTTGAAATCTCCTCAAATATACCGCATTAAAACAATGACATCCGTTCAGGTGACTACACGTTCACACATACGACCTAATTAATTTTTAAAAATAAAATCCATATAAACTAGTAATCATGGAACGTGTTCATCAGTTCATCATACATAGAACTCTACAAACAAAGATAATTAAAAAAACCTATTGAAGCTATACGCAATCAGATTTGCACAAAGCCACCCCTTGGGTAGCAGGTATATGCGATACGCTTATTTATGGGCATGTATCGACGAAAAAAGTGATAACTTGAGTTTATTTCATATTTCAGCATAGAAAAATGAAAAAACTATACGTAAACTTACAACTAAATTAAAGGTCAAACAGATTACACCACGCATAGCTAAATTCATATTTATGAAAGATTTTCAATAGCGGAAAAGAAGAAGTGCGCTGACGGAAACATGCAAAACGATCCGTTAGAGATTCGCGCAAGCAAGATTTAATTTATCAGCAAATTCCTCTTAATACAAGCTATATAATTAGTTAATGTCTTGTGTGATGAAGGCCAATCGGAAACGTCCCATTATTGCACGTACTATTATAAGCCACTGAAACTGCAATAAAACTTCGGACGATTATATGCACGTAATTCTATTCATGTATTGCGGCACAAAATCGGATCGGTTACAGTTAATGCAATTATCTATACAAATACGTTCAAAATTTGGGAGGACCCATTAGATAAGGTGGTGATCACGCGACTTACGCCTATAATTCCAAAAAATTATTTTAATTTTCTGACATTTAATTACATGTATATAGAGTACGACGTCGGTTTTACATACGCTGACTGAAGATGCTTTTTTAAGTTGATTGATATAAATGCTTTTTTGCAATGGCATACCCAGTACGCAATATCAGCTAGAATTTGTTTAGATATGTACTTCTTATATTGTTGCATTTGATATTTATCCGGGTAATAATTCAGCAAAAACTATAAAAAGCGTTTATTGAAGCAGAAAGATATGAACACTTTTGCCTTTAGACATGATGTGTTGAAATCACTAAAGCGTCTTAAATTCGACAAGTGCCTGTATCTATCACCGTGGACATCACGAAATCGTCTAATTTGAGCCCGAATAAAAATAATTTTCTTCACTGCTTTCTACAAACAAACGATTCTTCTATCCCAATATAAGCCATTAACACAGAACATAGTGTTATTGATGATTGTAGTGATCATACTCGAAGTTTTAACAAAGCTGGTAACCGTAGCTACAAAATTTTGTAACTGCGATAAAGTATTAGTACATTCGATACTGAACAAATTAAAATAATTCAATTGTATACTATTACCTTTGCCATTTCGAACCTCCTCTGCCGCACACAAATAATGCCGGTAAATATCAAACACGTATGCATCTGGTTTTATGGCCTCATGACTCGTTCAATCTATTATTCATATTAACTGACCAAATCATCCAAGCTTTGAAACTCAAACATGACGTCAATAACCACACAAGTACGATCTACTGCATCTCTAGAGTGATACAATTACAGTACCGGCACAAAATATCCCTGAGTAGTAATCTATAACGCATTTGGTCACCACGTAAAATCTCACCATGACATCATATATCGACTGTCATTATAGACTTTTCGTACTATCACATGAGCATTGGGGACTGTGATCACAGTGGACGGTTGTCGTACCTTGAAGCAATTTTAATATAATAAGTATTACTATTATAATAGAGAAAGTCAAATATAATACTAGCCCTTATCATGCTTGTTGTATTGCTAGCTTCTTAAGTAAACTAATTTTACAATTAGGTTTCATCGGCTTCTACGAACCACTATTAATCATCAACTTACTAACTCCATGGACTCCTTACAAGCCGTTTCCTTGCACTTGAACTAATAGTACTTCTCCAATTTGCCTATTCGGGCTAAAAATAGTAACATGGTTGCAGTTTCGTAGAAAGCGTTAGCGAAATTGCTACAACACACAGGCAGACGTCTTTACATCAACAAACAAACTATTCCACAGGATTTAAATCTCTCGAAATGAGTTTTTTCGTCCTTACTTCGCAGAGTCTCTCACACACCGTCATCGCATCGTTGGTCGGCGCTCTTTTTGTCAGTGTTCGAGTTCCGGCAATGGCAGTAGCGATATTATTGTATTAGTATACTGTAGCGTCCACTTTCGAGGCGATTGCCGGAACCAGACCAAGAATGAACGACTACCTACCAATGGCGTTTAATATTGTCGGGTAGAACAGACAAGTTAATTTTGGTTTACCGCAGTCATCTCAGAAAAGCACCTACCGTAAAAGCGCCATACAGTTGATACGGCAGTCGTTACCACCGCATTGGGATTCACTTGCGCATCACACACATCAAGCAGCAGCTGACGATCAAGTAATAAGCGATGCGTCAATCTGTCAGCTTTTTTTTTCTGTTGACGTTGCTAGTAGCTGCCGTTGCTGCTGCAGCAGCTATTAAACAAGTTCTCAACAGCAGCACAGCATCAGATTCAAACCGTTTTTACTTTTGCTCTATCGTTAATTAATCTCAAAACATATTCATCTTAAATCCCCTCACTAATGGAACTTACCCATTCACATTCTATGTCTTTGCGCTATGTCTGTCAATTTGGTCAAAACAACCCCATCCAACATTTTGCTGTCGAAAGAACAAAGTTGTTAAAGAATTTTGGGCGTGGAAGAGCAACCCAATACACTTGAAGAGAGAAAATCTTTGCCGCTAACTTTTAACGTTGCCGTTTGCCTGCTCAAATGACCACCGTTACGGTTAACGGGTGGCTCGCTTCTTCAGTAGGTTTGTTCTCTCAATGCGAGTGGGCACATTACGCTACAGATCTATGGTAGAAGAGAGCCAGGCCGCAACGAAGCGTCTGACGTTACCTACTGCTCTTGGCTCTCCACATATCACAAATAACTGACGGCCACAAGCAAAATATAACGACAATAGAAACGCTGTGCCAGGGGCACTGCAGAGTTCAATGTCCAATGGTCAAAACGACAAACGGGTAGACAGCGTCCTGCTTCAGCAACGACTAGCGACTTCCGACAATAAAGAGGAGTGTTCCGTCAATTTAGCGAGACGTTCACTATATCTGCAATATAGAAACTTCGTCCTTGAGATAGTGCGAGGTAGCATGTTTTCCATGTGTGTAGCTATAGGAAAGCAAACCTCTTGCGTAACTACAGCAAAATAAAACAGCTTATCGACTCCTTCTGTCAATTTAGATCTGCATTCTATGGACGTTGGCTATCGGACGTAGTCGTATAATGCTTAGCATATGATGGCTGCTACCGAATATGGTATGGAGAAACTATCTGTGGCATTGGGAATAGTCATTTTGAAGTGCTTCTTCTGTCTGTAAAAATAGGCACAAATTAGTTGTTTTTTGAAAAGTTCGGTGAAACGTTTCGATGATTAAAGAAAATGGCCTACGGAAACACCAAGCGAATCCGCATAGATATGTTAAAATGTATTTATTTGAAAACTTCGTATTTAGTTGCGTTCAGGTGAGCGCGCTAACTAAGCCGACATGTACGATTGCAGTAGAAGACGCTCCCGACATCAACTGAATCCAGCAGGATAAGTTCCTCAGTTCAAGTTGTTTCGTTTGAAGCTATGACGGAATAAAGATAGGGCTGAGGTCTGCAGGATATTGTCGGGCCGTTTACAAACATTTACGTCATTCAAGGAAAATCAACACTTAGCCTTAAGCGCCTGCATTTTGGCCTAAGGATAAGAGTTTAGTACGTTAGAGTCATTTCAAAATAGACGAATAATATAGCAATAAAGTCTGGTGTGCACAATGCGTTGGACTTTAAGCTTTTAGCGATGGGCCAACGACACAAGGCAGCACGATGTGTAGCGATTGCCAGAAATCCCAGGTGCCTACGTCTAATGATCACTTGCATTGAAGTAAAATGGCTTTTCATTAACGCCATTTCTAGATAACGACTGGTATGAAAAAAAACACGCAAAGATTTGATTTGGGCGTTGCACAGTGAGCTAGAAATTTTCACATCATCCAAGGTACGCTGTTGTCAAAGGTCGTTTATCAGTAACCCTCCTCTGTAAACGTAACGTAATTTGTCAACATCATGTAGATACGCGCTTATGCGGGAGCACTGTTACAGTAGAAAATAATTTGGGGGGCGGGGGAGGAAGAAGTTGATAAAAAAAATTAATGCAATTTGATTAAGGCATTTATTATGTAATAGGTAGTCTGCTGAAAGAGACCAGCTGTTATTCTGTCACTTTGAAGCTCGAATGGCTTCGCTGTAAACAAACACTTCTATTTTTCTATAATACCATATTGCTTTGGCTGTGAGTAGCGTACTTGCCCTTTTTGTTAGAGAAAGTGGAAGTCGATTTTTCTCTTGAAGTTTCGCTTCGTTTAAAATAAACTTATTCGTTTAGCATTTGAACAATGGATATCGATTATTATTATAGTAAATTCTATTGACAGATGCTGCTTTTATCATGTTCATATCTGATATCTTATGCACCACGTTTCGAGATGTTTAAGTGTATAGTTAACACAAAATGCCTGTCATAGACCGATATGGCGTTATGAGGCTAGTTAGAGGGTTTGCAAAATTGGCGCTTTTTAGGTTTCGATTGTAATCGGTGTAATCGATTTGAAGCTCTTTACGGAGTTTTGTATATAATAATAATTTTTATAGATATGCAAGCTTCATTGAAATTTGAATACGCACTTCAGTTCAGTCAGCCAATCAGAGGAGCCTATCATAACATGATAATTGTCATTTCGTGACAATAATTCTGCATAATACGCATAGCAAGTCATTGTGCTTACTTGCTTGTTGAATCTGGTTGAATTTGGAAGAACGACTTATCGATACAGCAGCTCAATGTTTCCGGAACTTGTACGGTTGTCTTGAGGTGCTGAGGATAGTGATACCCTATTAACATTAGTCTAATAGTTATCTAGAGAAGCAGTGGCATGCTGTTCATTGATAATTTTTTCTCGCGGTAGTTTTTCCTGTATATTTCTTATGCCACTGTAAACCTTCGAGGACCATGTCGGTCATCTCTGATCCTGCGAAATGTTTCAAGGCTAAGCGCTCAGAGAACATTCCAGCTTTTTCCCCACCAAAAATTGTGTTCTTTGCATGGGTTTGAATTTAAATTAACTTTGCTTTCCACAGAATACGAAGCAGGTGGGTGGATAGATCCGAGCAAACATTTTTCGGGGTCGCAACATCTAGATGTTCTCAGGCAAAGAATTTACGACTAATATTATACCAGCTAAATCAAACGATCATTCAGAGTCGTTTTCATTTTGATTATATTTTTTTATGCAATAAGTAAGTAGCTATTACTAATTAGTTTATTAATCATAGCAATTTATAAGAGTAAGTTGCTCTTCAGACGTCGCTGCCTATATCTCAAGCTCATTTTCCGTACGGTTGGCAACAATCTCCGAATAGAAATTTCGTGCACTCGAATCGACTGTTTCGCGTTGAGAACGACAGTTGTTCGAAATTACTGACTGCACGTTAAGAGAACACGTCGAGTACTATGTCGAATATTTTCGTTTTCGCGCCGCAGAATTTACTGCCATTTATTTTTTGTCTGAACAGAAGTATATTACATATCGCAAAAAAGAATGATTCGCCTGTCCATTATAGCCGCCCTCGAGCCGAATGTTAGCACGGATTAGCATTGCATAAATATAATAACTAATAGCCAGATTTTACGATCAACTACCGTTGCCTTCCATTGAGCCCTCATGATCATTTTACCGTCGTTTTCACGACTCTAAGCTGTCGTCTTCTCAATTTGAATTTGGGCGCGACGCGACTCGCGGTCTTCATCCGGTTTCGAATTAGCTGACGAAGCTTCTGCGGCAGATAGCTGCTAGCTAAAGTACTGGTGCTGTGAGTAGTGCCTTGAAGGAGGCTGCCGCTCCGTGCGTCGTCCATAGTTTGTTGTTCGGTCGCTATATTTGTGCTGCTACCTATTCTGTCCACCGCTGCTAGCAACAAGACAATAGCAATCTTCTAATTTGCATCAGCATTTTATCAAAGGTTAGTAGACTACGTCAGCTGCAGTGGCATTCAGTCTTTGACGATCTGGAAGGCTGGCGTAGTGTGCGTGGACAATTTTGCGCTCCTTGTGATATCCTAATTATCGAACGTCGTTTGGTCAGCGGGCTCGTTGGCCAGTGTGTCAACGCGGATCAATTGTCCGATAGGAGTCGAAAGAAGATCTTGTAAAAAATGGCTCTTGCTGTTAAGTTCGATTACGCAAGATTCCACCAAATTTCTTGATAAAATTGATGAGTGCAACAACTGATACCATGATCAGTAGCAGTTCAGCAGCAGAACCCACTCCTGTGGCTATATTAGTGTTTCTCTCGAAAGAGCACTGGTTGGTGTTTCGTGAGTCCAGCCAGCCACAGTTAGCGTGTGGCGTTAGTATCGGACCGGGCCGTGGTGACTAGTGCTGTCCAATGACAGCGGGACCGTTTTATCGCTCAAAAGGGCCTCCCTGTGTGTGTATGTATGTGTATGTGTGTTATTTAAGGGAGGAAAGTGGTTCGGCACGAGTCTCGGGCCCGTCTTCTGTTTTAAACGAACACGTCGGAAACCAGATGCGAAGCGGCCGTGCTTGGAACATGCTGCGGTTTGCTATTTTGGCGGTCGAACAACACCAACAACGATGATGACGACATCGAGACTCGTGTCGCCCATTAGTTCGAGATTAAACCATCGAGTCTAGCCGATATTAATAGACTGTGGTCAACGGCGCACGTAGCGTTTGCAGGAAAAAGCGGTAGTTCACATAAACCATCTCGACCAGATAGTAGTAGACAGTGGAGTGGCAGAAAGAGTTGAACTGTTTTCCTCTGTTAAACAAATATCGTTGTACCAGTTGAGCCAGTCAGATCTGAACACTGTTGTCTCTAATGATGTAACTGAACCAACTGCATGCGCGGAGCTGTCATATCGGTAATGATATGAAGCGCTGATTAATAACTACCTCATCTTCCTGCGTATACGAAAGACAAGGAGAGAGGTATCTATGAAAGAGACCGAATGTATGTATACGGCATCTTTTTGTAGAGTGGGTATTCAATCTGTAGTCACTGTGCAATATCGGTTGGTCGGTTAAAATACTTGTTTTTCTGTTGTTATGATTGTATTATCAAGATTTTATTATTATTGATGTTGTCGCTATAATTATTATCTGAATTAAATGAAAATCGATGGTAGGTCCCGCAAGAATGATTTGCCGTGGGTTACAGCTGCCAGTGAAAAGCACACATGACTGTGAACTTTTTGACGATAGATGATCTGCACCTATCTGCAAAACTGCGATATTAACGCGAGGTAGAATTTGCGCGGGGCACTGCGTTCCTAGCGGTGCATGACATTCGAGGGCGTCTCCAAAGTAAAACGACTGATTTATTGCGCACTGAAAACTGGTCCATCGTCATTGTTGCGGTGATTCGCCAAGCGCGTGACTATGTTTCAGAGGAAGGCGTTTTTTATGATACATATATATACACACATTATATATAGAGGGAGCAGATTTGAAGAAAGAATATATGAACACCGAAAAAGGTGCCCTGAAGACCTCACACAAACACGACAAGGTAACTCTTGGCGCCATTTCTACTTCTCTCGCAATTTTGTCTTATCTATGCAAACCGTCATTACGGGTTACTCCCATGCTCTTACATTGATAAACTCAATCGCAGTACCGTTATCAGTCGCTCAGCTTCTAGCAGTTGATATCGCATCGTATCTGCTACAAGATTAAAATGGTTAGAAATAGACGAGGATTATCATCGATATTGGGAAGGCTAACGGGAAATTTGATGCACGAGTCCGTGGTGTTGTGAGCAGAGTCGTACGAGATGCAGAATCAAATATCCTATTATATAGGAGGAGAAAGACGTCAGCTGTGTTGTTCGATATATGGTAGACCCAAATTAAATATACGGCACGGTGACTTCGGGCGGTTCATGTAAGTAGTTCATTTAATGGGCACTTGACTTGCTGTTCGTCCGTGCCAACATCGACGCGCAGTAATGTTCGATGCGACGCAATTTACTATGTGTTGGACAGTGATATTTAGTTTTAATGCAAGGGTTCTGTTATACGAGACGTGCTGAGCCTACTTCAATATGTTGTTCCATAGTACACAATGGTCATTGGATTGTAATTGTTATTTTAATAACAGTAATAATTATTACTTGCAAATTGTAGAATTTATTTCATTTGTTCTTCGTACGATGTAAGGTGTGCATTTGCTAGTCTTTTATATATCATCTTCAGAAAATGAAATTCACTTTTTACACGGACAATGGTCTCTTTCGTTTAGAGCACATCGATGGCAGAAATGTTATCGTTGTGAGTTGGTTACCTTTTTTTTTAAAGTCACTTACGAAATTGGTACAGCTACGCTTTTAGTCATAGTTGTTTGAAAAAAAAAAAGTAAATTAGAAGCTCGCGTGCCATACAATTTTTGTATTGGATGTTATAATTCTGTCTACCAATCTCATACAGAATAGGTCTAGCTAATCGAAGCGAAAAACACAGGTTTTCACGATGAAGTCCCTATGAGCATAGTTTTATTATTTTGTTGATTGACCATATCACAGATAGAGTTGTAACGGAACTTTCGACAAAATGCAAGTGACGACGAAACGAAATAGTGGCGGACTTTCCGTTGATGCTATTTACTAATGCATTTAACAATTCGATGACTGGTACAACGTATTACTACTGTGTAAACTTTGTGTCTCGAAGGGTAGATATTTAGGAGGGTTTTCACTTATTCCTCGTGAGCACGACATTTCTATAATTTCGTTGGAATAGATGCCGTTTCGGAAAACGTAAACATTTGAAGCAGGTAAACCTCATATCGTCCACTGATCTGATCTGATGACGATGAAGCTTCCTGTTGGAAATACATATAGAGAACAGAAACCACACATGTGCGTCCATAATGTATGTAGGCAAAACAAGTCTGACCCTTGCGACTTCATGCTGGTAACGTCAGATAGCAATAGAAGATCAACTCAGTACTTAGGCGGAAATAAAATGCACCCGAGAACCATATATATATGTTAAAAAATAGTTGAGCTGCTCGTTCTATGCGTATACTTCTAAGGAAATTGGATTGGAATTCGGGCTAGCTATTACACAGGCAATCCGGAAAGTTCTGCGTGATTTTGATGATGATTTGTGAATCTTGCGTTGGATCAACAAGTTCCTAACAACGCAACTGTAGCTTTATTCCATAATTACCATAATCGATAGCTTAATATTTAAATGCTTAGAACCACCACCAGCATGAAAGTAAACACGAGACGAATAAATACGCCTGAAGAAGGAAAGGTTACAATGATGATTCTCCAGTCTTGCGATGAGGCTAGCCAATTTTGGTAATGATCTTCGCCATGCAAACGTATTTGCCCGTTCCTCTAAACGAAAAGACAAAAAACAATTGTTAAAAAAAAGCTACGGCCAGCTGAACTTTGTTGCGGAATTCTAACAGCGTGACATTTGCGGCACGATTTTTGCCCCAATAACATGAATCTATGTATATATAAGCTATGTCATGCGAATTATCTTGGTTGCGCTACTTTGGGGTCTTCGAACCGACACAGAGTGGTATTCTGAGATAAATGCGGATGTTCATCAAAACGACAATGGACCAAGCTGAGCCAATCAAGCTCAAGAACGAAGTTTTTGCTTGTCATGTAAGCACGGCTTGATTGAAAAATGACCCTATTAGTTTCAATAGATTTTTTGTACGTTGTTTTGCACTGTAACTTTTCATCACACTAATTGCAATGAACGGCAACATAACGAAAAATGTGTTGAAAAAACACACAATATTGTTTTGTTTGGAAATCCCACATAGTTGTTATGAAGAGAGTATACGCAACAGAAGAAAGCAGCAAATTTGTTAAATACATTGGCATTAGCATTCAATCGTTGTTAGAATCGAATTCTTCAGACTACAACACAATTTTTATTTTATGAAAAACTATGCTGTAGTCTGAAAACTGTTTTTTCTGTCCATTTTTGAACTCTTAATCATCTATCTGTTCTCCATTCTCTGAACTTGTATTTTCAGAGCATGTATTATGGATTCGCCAGGCAGACACCACGACAAAGGCCATCGGCCGTATCACAACGTAAGTCCATTTGAAAATAAAATGCAAACCTAAAATCCACTTGCTTCGTATAGGTGAAAGATATTCAAAATTACCAATTTTCGATGAAGTATGATATGTAAAAATCTAGCAATCTTTTTGATCGCAAGGGTAATAGAAAATAATACACAAGAAGAAAAATAACAGAAGCGCGTGTGAACTCCAACCAATGGCAAAGATTATAATTCGGCTTAAAAGTAAAAAACTTATACGTATTTAGCTCATGAATCCCGCTCCGACATTTTGAGCCATACCTTTGGCACGGTCCAAAACACACTATCAAAAGAAGAGCACAGTATCCGATCTTTCGCTCTCATCATACTATTGGTAGCTTCAATGTGGAATATTGCTTCTTAGTATAATGTAGATATTCCCTGACATTTCACTTAGTGAGCTTTATTGTTTCATGTTGTTTGGCTGTTGCTAGCTGTTATTGTCAATAATGGTGTGTACGAATTTTTTCAGAGTCCACGTGGTCTCCAATCAATGAGAACACCTGAAAGAGGGCCGCGCATTGGGTTGCAAGGCACCGGTTCTCAGAACTCGTACGACATTTTTGGGCTTCATGGGGGCGGATCCCGACCTGTTTCAGGGCCCTATTCGCCCCATACGCGGCATCAACCATCACAGGGACCGCATGGTTCAATCGGACCGGTGGACCATAGCCCGGGTCCAAGCAAAAGGTCAATTCGGCCTCCACCTCAGCGCGATAGTTTTCGTGATCACCAACACCGCACTCGAGATGAGACTGACGCCCTCCTTAACGAACATCGGATTGTGAATCTCGATCGACCCTCGCCAATGTTTCCCAATGCCAAATGGTTTTGCAGGCTGTGCCATCAGCACTTCAATCAGGTCAATACGGGAGTGGAGCACACTTCAACCAGCATCCATAAGAAGAAAAAAGCCGCTCTGGATCTTCGCAAAGTCGTCTTGGCTCTCCCGCGCAAACCTGAACCCCGGCACGCGACTGCTCTTGATACGGAACTTCGACGGGTTTTCGGCAAATATAGAATGACGGCAGAGAACCTGGACAAGCGAAGAGAGCTAGTTGCCGAGCTTGATAAGTACTTAACAGAAAGCATGCAAAACTCGCGATTACAGAATATCGTCGACAAACGGTGGCTAAAACTCAAACTGAATCTGCAAGGCAGCTCACTGAATGGTATGGGCTTAGCAACGTCGGACGTGAATGTTGATCTCCACTTACCCAAGGCGGCACCCACAGATGTTCAAGCAAAAGTGTTTTTCGAAATCCTACATTTACTTGAGCGATGGTCGAGCTTGCAGAAGGTGGAACCACACTTTAATCAAAAAGTACCTAAGATTAAGGGTGTACATTGCGCCACAAACTTGGCCCTCGAACTAGGTTTGGGAGGAACGCCGGCTCTAAAAACTAATCGGCTTCTTTCCGATTACGCGTCGTTAGATGAGCGAGTCCTACCGTTGGCAGTGTGCCTGCGATATTGGGCAAGCAAATGTCGGCTCGACGATCCCATGTTTGGAACATTGCCTCCACACTCATTCCCGATTATGACGATCTATTACTTACAGCAGTGTTCCCCACCGGTTCTACCCTGTATACACGACGCACTTGTAACAGCATCCGCAGCAGCAGCGGCCGTCTCAAAGGCTGCAACAGCGGCTGCTGTTACAGCCAACAACAACAGCAGCAGCAGCAACAGCAACAGCAATAACAACAGCAGCAGTAACAGCAATAGCAACAACACGTCTTCCACCACAAGCACACAAAATCCCGTTCCGATACCTAGCGTCCCCGTATTCACCGAAGCCGATGGTAGCGGGGGCGTCTCGAGCGATCAGGGCGAAGAGGACGAAAACGACTATGTAACGCCTACGAAATTAGCCGATTGGAAATCGGAGAACACTGCCAGTTTAGCCGAATTGTGGGTCGGCATGCTTCGCTTCTATTCGGCAGAATTCAAAATGAGAAAAGTGTGCGTTTCGCTTCTTACCCGAAAGAAAGTTCTGCTTACAGCGCGACGCTGGCCCTCGCGCTATATTGGCATCGAGGACCCGTTTTGTAGAAAGAAGTCGTTATCGCGCAGCATGATCAACGACCAGATTATGACGTACTTCCTTATGTGCCTTCGCTCATCCGCCCTATACTTTAAGTAAGTACCTGGTATAGCTGATCTACGTTCGTTTATATTTCTAAACAAGTGGTACCCATATACAGTACAGGCAGTCATCGGCGAAACTGGCTTTGCCGTGACAGGGCGAAGTTTTTTGTTATTGTACCAGTGCATCTAAGTCAAGGGAATCATTCTTCCGCGTTACAGTGTTCCTCGAACAAGCAGTCTGGCAACTGTTTACGACCCCGTGTCGACGTTGAATATTGGAATAGTTGAGGACCCCGACGGTGATGACATTGAGGATGGTCTCGCAGCTGACGAGGTTCGTACTGGGAGAGACGGAGCGATGTAACAACCCGTATATATACTTGTTATATCCCTTTATAGTGCAGCTCATTGACCCAGAGCTTATATAAGCAAAATGCTTTGGACACATTAGTGATACTATTGTGTTTTAGGAGGCTGACGAAGATGATGATGACCAAGAAAAGGACAACGCAGGGCAGGAGTCAGCAGCCTCTACCAGCGGGTCCGGTGCCGCGACTGTCGATGTTGAAGATAAGGATAGCAAAGAGGGGGCTCCTCTCGAGAACCTCGCCGGCTGGGACCAACAACTACCACAGTCCATTATCGAAAGCATCGCTAACTGCGATCGTCTGAATTATTGTATGGAGAGCGTTAACACTCTCACTGGCGGCATGGTAAGCCAGCACAACAGTGCAGTATCAACAAGCAAGTGATCTAGCAGGTGAATTGTCGCAGAAATTATCACACGAAAAAACTGCTTCCAACAAACACGTTGTTAAAAGACTAACAAAATAAGAATTGTTTGACGCATGACTCAATTCGTTACCAACCATATGATAAACAATTCTCGGTTAAACAGTTCCAGTCGTTCATTTTCTCTTCTCGTCAACATTAGGCATTGTGAGCGCTTTTGAATGAATAGGCGGTAGGTCAATTTCGCATAGAGAAAAATAGATGTTATCGTTAGTTTGTTTAGTAAATGTGTATCGTGCCTAATAAGATATCCTATGTATATACGTGTTTCTATTTTGTTCGATTTTTAGACGTTACCCAAAGCTTGTATAGTATGTCGACAACCTGGCCATCGTGGCGACACATGCACGGAAACACAATTGCCCCGTCCAATGAACGCCTCACCAAAGGCATTCGAGGACGCCGATGGCTTACACACGGCTTTGTGCAAATATATACATGTAAATTTCCGGCCGGCGGTATCCGAACTCGAGCTTGAGAAACGGGTTGAAACGGTGAAAGCGATCGAAGAGTTTATCCAGAAAACCATACCTGAATCCTATTTAACGTTATTTGGCTCTTCGCGAAACGGTTTTTCGCTCGAGAAAGCTGATCTCGATATCTGTCTAAAGTATCGCGGTAAGGAAGGTATTGACGAACAAATGGACGTAAGAGATATCATATTTCGGGTTGCTACGATTTTGGACAATCATCCACAAATCAGCGATGTGCAACCAATCGCATCGGCGAAGGTGCCGATAGTCAAATTTCATCACGACGCTTTTGGCGTCGATGGCGACATCTCTCTGTACAATGTACTGGCCGAACATAACACTGCCATGCTGCATGCTTATAGCTGCATCGATGAACGGGTAGTACCGTTAGGAGCGGCCTTGAAGCAGTTGGTTAAGCTGTGTGACATGGGAGACGCGTCACGAGGCAGCTTGAGCAGTTATGCCTATGTCATCATGTTGATTCATTATCTCCAGCAAGAGGGCATTGTGCCCGTGTTGCAGAAACTCCCACCAATCGGCCACCCAAAGGGTAAACCGCTTCCGACTCGAATGGTCGATGGGTGGAATGCGTACTATTTTGACGACATGGAACGACTCGATGAGGTTTGGCCTTCACGCGGCCAGAACAAGAAGGCAATTGGACAGCTCTGGTTGGGCCTGATAGATTACTACTCGACTAAGTTCAAATTTGATTTAAACGTTGTCTGCATCCGTCAGATGGAGCCACTAAGTCGACTGGAAAAAATGTGGACGAGTAAAGAAATTAACATTGAGGATCCTTTTGAGCTCGATCATAATCTCGGAACCGGCGTCTCTAGCAAAAGTAAGTGTTAAAATTAAGAAATTTGTACTTAAATCAGCTATGGTCATGATGTAACGACATAGTACCGACAATTTATGCAAATGGCTGTTGATTACAGCGCCGAAAGAATGAGCAAAATATATTTGTTTCTGTTTTTGTATTTACGTACGGTAGCGTGCGGTTTTTATGACACTGTACACTGATATGTTATATTTGAAACAAACCAAATAATACTGATAGCATGTCATTTTTCTTCTTAATAAAATACGCCAGTTCTTTTGTGAATCTCACCAGAATTTTGTATACGTGGAACCGACACATTGCTTATAAAGTTGTATTGGTATATCTGAAATTGGTTGACTGTCGTTAGTGTCCAAATATATCCAGTCAGCATTGATTACATCGCGCAACTGGTTCCTCACTTCACCCGGTCGGCCACTTTCGACGACTGAAGGAGATCTTGTGGATCTTTATCGTCACTTCATGAATCCCCGTGAGCTGACAGTTGGTAGACCTCCAAAAGATCGCGGTTGCAAACGTTGCGGCAAGATCGGTCACTGGATTAAGGATTGCCCAATTAAAGCCAATGGCGAATCAAATGGTGAGTTTTCGTGTGACTATAATAGGTTCGAGGTTTGTTATCTTATTCGAAGGGACGAGATGAGCACCTTATTTATTTCTGCGTTTAACGAGAATCCGAAAGAAAAGTAAGGAATTAGAGTAAAGCAAGGCGTTAAAAACCAAAAAGAAAATATTGTTTGTATTGATCTAAAGAAGAAACACAAGGTAAGCTCAGTGAGACCTATTCCTTGTTAGACACATAATGGAAGCAAATCTTTGATATTAGAGCCAAAAAGACAGTTTTATAATTTTCTCTACATAAAAAGAATGACTGGGAACGCCAATGAAGAAAACAAATAGATTTTGGCGAACAGCGGATCCTTTCGCAAAGGTCATCTCCAGTGAACACAACGACAGATGGCAGGGTGGACCCCTTCAAAGTGATCAGATGATCAAAGTAAGGAAGTGTAATTTTATAAAAGAAATGTTGGGCTTCTACTAGACGTTGATTGTGCGTCATTTGGTTTTCAGGCGAAAGAAGACCAGACCGGCGGATGTGTCATCACTGCGGCGAGATCGGCCATCTCATTAAAGACTGCGGAAAGCGGTTGCAGCAAATCCGCCAACAGCGAAACGCTATCCTCCCGCCGCTATCGATGCGAAATCAACACGACATGCCAAGATATAGCGTCCCTCGCAGCGTCGATATCCGTAATGAGGAGAGGCACATGCACAGGGAAAGTGGATCACCTGAGAGGTTAGCACCTGGCCGCCGCCATCATTATCACCAGCAGCAGGCGCCGCCAACGCCGTACGCACACGATAGTGCCATTACAGCAGTCGCAGCAGCAGCTGGAGTTACCAGGATATCACCACGGTGTCTGACGACGACCACCACGGTCGATGGACAAGGATTCGACACAGTAAGTGCGGGAACAAGTGGGGCCGCAGGATCTTCTACCCAGGGCAACAGGAAACCGAACAGGAAAGGGGACCAACGCGAAGGTGGCAACAACCCAAACAGCGGCAACAATGCCAATTTCGACAACGACAAAGATACTAACTCAGCCACCATCTTGAACAAGAAGAACAATAGAAAGAAAAATGCCAGCAAAAAACGCAGAACACGCAGCTTGAGCAATGGCGGTGATGATTATGATGATGATCATGATGGTTGCGTTGTTGCCGAATACCATTATGTTAACGATGAGAGTCTAGTGACCGCCGAGAAGGCGATCGCCACATGCGTGGGTCAAACATGTGACAGGGATCGTTCGGCTGAGGAAGATAGTAAAACCAAACAAAATTCAAGGTTGTCATCTGGTAAACTTGAAATATTAGAATGTGTTTATGAGCGTGATGTTCTTGTTGATAATGGTAACAACAGCTCTGAGGAAGTATTGCGGGTAACAGGTTCTGATGTGGCGCAAAGAGAACAGCAAAATGGGGAAGCGCTAGGGCATACTAAAAAAACAGGGAATGCAAAAATCAATAAAAAGCGTAATAAGAAGGGATCAGAAGCTATAGTAAATTCTGAAGCTGCCGGCTCTGATAGGAATTCGGGAAAGGCTTCAGGTACAGTAGCCAGTGAGGGCGCCCAGAGACCAAAGAAAGTGAAGCTTTCATCGTTCAAAGAGCATTCGAAATCTAAGCAAGCACGTAATCGAAAAGCCAAACAGAAGATCGCTTTACAGAAAGCTGCAAAGAACGCAGCTGACAGCAATGATAATCATGGCTCTGGTGCCCCTAAAACATTTTTAGGAAAATATGCCTCTGATGGGTGAATGAAGTGATCGGAATATCCAAGTTAACAGTTTTAAGTTTTAAAGGGAAGTTATCTCAGATACACAGTCGCGAACGGCAAGCCAAATATGAATGGGTCTACGGTAGGAGTTTTAGTTCGTTATGACATCGAGCCGCAGCCTGCTAAGTGGGGGCTATTTTCAGGGATCCGGAGGAGGCAGAGCCATTGTGGAAGGTTTGCTGGAACCAAGTACACAGCACCTGCCACGGACGCGAGTACGCGCTAAAGACAAGCGACACCTCCCGGAAGACTATTGTCATTCCAACCGTCAATTTATTAGAGATGACACATTTGATGAATGCGACTCGGCGCTTGCCACTACTTGCGCAGCCAACAGCGGGTCGCCGCCTCTCAAAGCAGCAAAGAAGTAAACGGCCGTTTTGTTTTGAAATTTCGATGTCTTAACGGGTAGAAAACCAGCGTAGGAAATTCGGAAAGGGCATAAAATATGAAAATAGTTAATGTAGAGAACCCGATTGGTGGATTGTGGACCAACTGACTCGCTCTGTGCGATGCTCCACATTGGCAGACCGTCACTAAACTTGACACACACACCCACAATAT